AGGAAGACAGTACAGCCAGTCCTCATGAGACCTAATAGGCTAGGGTCAGAGGGAAGGGGAGGAGGACCTCCCCTATCAGTGGACTTGGATAGGGGCATGGGAGGAGAAGAGGAAGGGGGCTGAGATACAAAGTGAATAAATTGTAATAATCAATCAATCAATAAATAAATAAAAAGAAAAATATCACCCACGATTGAGTTGTAGTTTGTCTTTGAGTCTTTTCATTGTGGGGATACACTTTGTGAAATTGGGTGCTTCAAATTTGATGCATATGTTTAAGTGAAATTCTCTTTTTGGTTAATTGCTCCCTTGATTAAAAGGAAGTATTTTGTATCTTCTAGTTAGTTTTAATTTGAAGTCTATTTTGTTGAATAATGGCTATCAACACTTACTTCCTGGTTCCATTTGCTTGGAATTCCACCCCCTTTTAAAATACCTTTCCATTTTAAGGGGATGCCTGCCTATCTTTAAAGCTGAGTTTCTTGTATACAAGGTATCTATTCAGCTCACACAGTCTTGATTGACACTGTCATTGTTGAGTAGAGAGTGTTGGTTGTAGCTATTTATTATTTTGTTAATAGTGCTTGGTGTTTGAATGGTTACCTTGTTATTTTTCTCCTTTGATGCTCTCTTGGCTGTCCTTATTTCTCTCTTCAGTCTGAAGTATTCCGAAGTATTCCCTCCAGTATTCTCTGTAGGGTTGGCTTAGTGATCTTGGAGTCTTTTAGCCTGTTTATGTTTTGCTGGATACCATAGATCAAGTTGTCAGACATTGCTCCAGTTTCTGGCTTTTCAACTTTCTGTTGAGAAATCAGCTGCTGTTCTGATGGAATTGCCTTTTTTGTGATTCCGTGTGTGTTTGTGTGTGTATCTCTTGGAGCTTTCAACATTCTTTGTTCTGTATTTAGTGCTTTAACTATGATATGTTGTAGGTTTTCTTTTTCCTGGCTTGTTGTAGAATAATAATATTTACTGTTGATTTATCTTTTAGTTAAACAGTGGCTATTCCTAAACCAGCTGTATACCCAAATCACTACACAGAGACTGGGATTTATTTAGTTAACCTAGAGCACAATGCTGGGCAATAGTTACTCCATCCTAAATCTCCAAGCCCGCATAGTTTCCTACCATTGAGATTTCCCAGCATTATACTTGCTTTTAGTCATATCATAGGTCCGTTTCATACTTCCTCATGGTTCCAAGACCTCTCCTTCTGATCTCTGCTCTCCAACTCCACCCACTCCTCCTTTCTCCTCCCCTCCTGACCAGGAAGTCCCACCCTATTTTCTCCATTGCACAGCATTGGCTGGTTGTTTAATTGAAAATACAGGGAACAAACAGTGGCATATTTACACAAACTTGAGATGCAATGTCTGGATTGAAACCAGATAGTGGGGGAGAGAAACCAGCATTTGATAAGGTTTTGCAATTTTGTTTTTATTAGCTGTATTTCTTTTGTGTGTATGAATGTGTAGGTGCACTGTGCGCTTGCAGTGCCCACAGGGTCAGAAGGGTCGGGAGCTGGAGTACAGAAGGTTATGAGCTACCGTGTGGCTCCTGAGAAGTGAACTCTGGTCCTCCAAGAGCAATAGGTGCTCTTGACCTCTGAACCGTCTCTCCAGCCCCATATTTCATGTTTTCTTCTGATTCCCCAGTTCCTACATGTTCTTAGTATTTTACTTTTTCATATTCTTCAATGCTCTGATTTCTCTTCAGATTCTGACGTCTGTCTTGCCCTTGCTCTGTTCTACTTGAGAGACTCTTCCCCCGAGTTTGCTCACTGGGTTATTGAGTTTTTTTCAGTTCCATCTTTAGTTTTACACAAGTTCTCTATTTTCAAATTCTGTTCCCTGAGTCGATGTTTGTATTTTCTTGGGTGTCACTTTGTTGCTCTTCTCTTTAAGCTCATTGGGCTGTTTGTGTCTTCCTTAGACTCCTTGAATTTTTTAACAAAGTTTGATTTTTCTTTTAAGCGCTGTGTCTTAGGGTTCATCTAAATAATTCTCACTGGAGAAGATTTGTGTGGAACTGGTGGGTTTGGGGAACATACACCATCTTGCCCTTTCATATTGTGTTTTATGATGCGACCTGGTCCTGTGGACTTCTTTCCTTGGTTGTGTGTCTGATGTGAGGCTCTAGGCTGCCAGCTTTGGAGGTTTGGTTCAGTTGTGGTGTTGTCCACGCGTGGGTAATCTCATCCGCTGCATGGGAAGCTAGCCAGCCAACCATCAGATACTCAAGTGTTGGTTTTGGATTGGAGCAACGGGGGAGATTCCAGCTCAGTGTTTGTAAGGATTCCTGTGAATGGGACAGATGGCTGGATCTTTCTGGGCCGAGGTACAAGCTGTGCTGTCAGAGGCAAAGTCTAGGGGTGTGGGCACAGTGTGCAAGCTGTGCTGTCAGGCTAAGTCTGGGCACAGTGTGGGTGGGAAAAGGGTCTTGAACCATCACTAGACTGGCACGATGTACAGGTTGTGTGACCAAAGTAAGGCCTGAGGGCTAGGGGTGGACAAAGTTATAGTATTAACTTCATGTTGTGTATTGTGTGTGTCATAAACTATTGAGAAATCATTAGCAGTTTTCCAGAAGAAATTCGGGAATTAAAAAAAATTAACGATGTTACTTATCTTTGCCTAGAGTTAGAAAAATAGATCACTCAATAAAAACAGTAAAATGGGGGGATTTCTATGTACAAGCTTTTGTTTGTTTTGTTCTGTTTGTCCGTTTGTTTGTTTGTTGAGACAGGGTTTCTCTGTAGCCTTGGCTGTTCTGGGCTCACTTTGGAACCCTAGACTGGCCTCAAACTCAAAGAGATCCGCCTGCCTCTGCGTCTAAGTGCTGGGATTGCAGGCCAGCACCACGATTGCCCAGCTGTGTACAACTTTTAAACCACAGTAACGATGTGTCTTAATTACTGCATGCATACCATTACAGGTTTAGTAAATAATCATTTAAAAAAAAAAAAACAGACCCAAAGTAAAAGGTTGATTTTCTCTTTTAAAGGGTCAGCCATTGTTCTATATTTAAACAGAGTTAGTCTCGTAAACACTAGCTGTTTTCTTTTAAATTTGTTGCTACATCTTATGTGTCAGTGTGTCTATCCCGTGGTCTCTGTGAAAGTCGGGACATTCCAGGAGTCGGATTTCTCTTTACAGTGTGTAGGTTTTGCCAACCAATGGCAAATCTGCTAACACCTGTCCATCTGCTAACACCCTGAAGTGGGCTTAGTAACACGGGGTGAACTCTTGCAGTGTCGCCCAAGTCTCTGGTCTAGTTTAAGGCTTGCTCCTGACATGCTTGTGATTACCTCCATCGTAGCACGCCTACAAAACCGTCTGCACAACTTTGGCCTCTCTCTCTCTCCCCCCTCTTTCTGGTTCCCTTCTCTCTCTCCTCTGTTTCCTGCCCCCTAACCCACAGCTCATAAACCTACCATTTAAAGTAACCCAAATGTGAGGCCTGTCTCCAGGCCTTCGGTCTTGCGCTCTCCTTGGACAGCCTCAGCTTGGGTCTCCGACTCGTGGGTGTAAAGTGAGTTGACTTAGAAGAGTGGTTCCGTTTTGATGACCTGTGGAAGAACCACATATTTTGACAAGAATTCTCCAGCAGCTCTGTCATGTGAAAATAATTTAATTTCTTAACGTGGGTCTTTCACTTGTTCCATTGCTTCTTAAAACTTGTGAGATACACTTTCTCGACCCTTATGACGTGTATTAATGCTAATTAGCAGAGAGGCAGCAAGTAATTACCCAAGAATTTTTGCAAAACAGACCAAAACAAGGTAAACTCCATGTGAAGCGGGCTCATGCACACGCTCAACTCTCAGTATATTAATGTAAGCAGATCGCAGAGGAGTTGGGGTGGCGAGAGTGTCTGTGCGCGGAGCCTCACTCGTCTGGCACACTCGTCTGGGCTCTGCAGGCCGGCATGCTCGCGCTCTGTTTGCTGCTCATTTCTGCTAGCAAATGGCTTATTAATGTTTCTAAAGATGGAAAAAGACAGCAGGGCTAAGTATTTAACTAGAGTAATAATGTACAGTGTTCACTGAGGTTTTTAAAAAGTGATTTATCTGTAGCATTTTAAGTGTCTGTATTATGAGAAATTTGGTTTATGTTTCCATACTGTCCATAATTGTTTGCCTTTATGGTTCTATGTTTTTTGAGACAAGGTCTTATTATATAGCCATGGCTGGCCTGGCATTCTCAATGTAGACTCAACTGGCCTTGAACTCTCAGAGAATAGCTGGCATCTGCCTCCCAAGCGTAGGGATTAAAGGCATGGCCCCCACTCCTGGCTGATGATTTAATGTATATACCAATTCTAAGGTAGATTTTGATGCTTTTTAGGGGAAGCTCTCTTTAGCCCTCCTTAAGCCTGCTCATAAAGTCAGTTGTCATTAATTTATTTGTAAGAATAATATACTTTAAAATGTTATTTCAAATTCACTTTTTAAATCTTAAGAAAAAGTATTAATCGTCTATTGACTTTGCTCAGGGATCTCAGGAAATAAAGACAAGGAGCCTGAGACTTAGGATGGATTATGTTGCCAATGTGACTTGTGCCTGGAGTCACACTCTATATAACTCAGGCTGGCCTCAAACTGAAAGCAATCCTCCTGCCTCAGCTTCCCAAATGCTGACGCTCATAGGTGCAGTCCACAGCCCCCAGCTGGACAGTTGCCATTTTTGAGGAAATTAAATTGCCAGTTACTGGCACATCTCCATGTGCACAAAAAATTGAGAAAGTGAACTGAAGTTTCAGATGTGGATACAGAGGCAGAAAGCTCACCGACCTGCGCACGGCCTTCACCTGGGCTCGAACACAGCCTTTGCACAAAGCGCAGGTCTCGGTGTGGTGTGTCGGCGCTGCCTGTAGGGCTGCCCGTCTCTGCCATCTGTCTGTGTTGATCGCTGTCGATTGCAAGGGACTGGCTGAGCAGCTGCGTGCCATGCTGCTGCTTTAGCTGGAAAGCTGACCCATTCCACTGTTGTTTTATGCAGTTCTTCTGGCTCTGCCTCAGTCTTGACACACAGCAGCTCCGGAAATAGCCTGAAACGCCCAGACACCACAGAATCCCTGAATTCCTCCATGTCCAATGGCACAAGCGATGCTGGTGAGGGGCCTTGAGGACTTTGTTGTCTTGGCAGTGTTTGAGTATGGCCGGGCGGCGCCTAAGCCAGCTGCTGTGTTGCAGATCTTTTTGACTCCCATGATGACCGAGATGACGATGCGGAAGCAGGCTCGGTGGAGGAGCACAAGAGCGTCATCATGCACCTCTTATCACAAGTCAGGCTCGGGATGGACCTCACAAAGGCAAGGACGGGGGCGCGCGCGCGCGTGTGTGTGTGTGTCTGTGTGTGTGTGGGGGGGGGGCTTGGCCCTGGGTTAACGTGCGTGCAGATGGGTGAACTAGCGCCCTGTGGACAAGTGAAAGGGAGTTTTCAGAGATGACACTTGGGGGTTAAGAGGCGAGACTGATGTGCAGCGAGTGAGAGACCCCTGTGTACCTCGCCGTATTGAGACTCGTGCCCTCTAGCACAAATCTGCCTGTTTAAAATCAAGACCCTGGAGTCCTGTAGAGTCCGTCCTGACTTGGTCTAGTCTGTCACACTCTGCTTTCTTGTTTTCGTCCACTGTGTCGTGGGCGAGGGGTTGCTCACCCCACCACTGTCTTCACGTCTTATTTGTGTGTCCGTGTCACCTCTGTTACGGCCTTACCGACCTCTAAAAAGCAGTTCAATGAATTGTTTCTTAGCTATGCCTTCTCCTGGTTCCCCGAAGAAAGCATAATTTCCTCAGCCAGACCCAGGGCCACTTACGTCTTTTTGATGTTTGTAACATTCCAACTGAGACAGAAGTGCTGTGTGTCACGTGCAGGGACAGCAGAGGTTTGCACCGAGGAACAGGAAGCAGGAAGCGTTCAAAGCCCTGTGGGTCCCGCATCTGCTTGGCAGGGCAGTGGGCGTTCTGAACTGGGACTTCTTGGACAGTGTGCAGCATAACTGGGGAACTGTGGGTGTGGCGGAATGGGTGCCCGCCTTGCAGCGGTGCAGAAGTCTGCTTCTTGTGGACTCTGATCCTCAGGAGTCAAATGTGTGTGTTTACAGGTAGTTCTTCCAACGTTTATTCTCGAGAGAAGATCGCTCTTAGAAATGTATGCAGACTTTTTCGCACATCCGGACCTGTTCGTGAGGTAGGTGACAGCTCGGAAGTGGCTGCTATGTAGCGATGGTGCCCGTCTGCTCAGCTATCGAGGCAGGCCCTCCCCCTCCTCTGGCGTGTTTGGGTGGGTGAATCTTCTGTGTGGTGGAGGGTTTGGAGGCCCTCAAGGCAGTCACTGACAGAGCTGCTTTAAAGTCTACTAAGAGGCAGGCCGGGAATTTAAAAAGCCAAGACTATGAGCTCATTTGGAATTCATTTAATTCTGCTCAGCAAACCTTTCTAACACACCTATCATTTGGCAGGTACTTTATTACAACCCTAAGAAAGAAAAAGTTTGGAAGTCCACTTACACAGTGAATCATAGGCTGTAACAGAAAGCCTGCAGCCTGAGCTGCATGCATAGGGAAAAAAGCATGCCGAGAGACTGGCAGTGGGTCATTGCTTTTCGACAGCAGCAGGAAATGCTCCAGTCCATGTTCTCTGACTGCATCCCGTGCTCTGGCTTCCTAAAGCCAGAGGCACATTACTAGCTCAGCATGGAATAGGTTGGGGAGAGGGAGAGAGCAAGAGAGATTTAAGAGAAACCGGTGACCAGTTCTCAAAGTGCAGGCATGTTAAGTGAGACGCTTAATATCTAACTGACGGGTGGGTCCGTTGTAATGCCGAAGGGCCATTAGGCACTTAATGGCAGTAGCTGTTTTTTGTGGAAATTTGAAGTTTGTTTTCCTCAGAGGAACCACTTTAGAATTTTAAGAGTACAGCTGAAACATGAATAAATCAGAAAAAGTGGAATACTAGAAATGCATGATTAACTCCAGAATGAAGGACAAAGGTGCCAGGCGGACGACAACCCAGCTAAGCTGGCGGCGTCAGCAGCCACCAGGTGTGGGCAGCACTCGTCCTCTGTCAGAGAAGACAGCAGTTGTCAGGCTAGTGTGCCCTGCTGTGTGGAGGGGCGGCTCTTCGGACAGTGGCCTGCTTGGTTGAAAGGAAGAGGATAGGCCTGAAGGTGTAGCTCAGGCTCTCGCTCACCCAGCAGGCATGAGGCCCTGGCCTTAATTGCTAGTGTTGCAAAGAGTAAAAAATAAAATGACAGGGCAGCACTCAGAGGCCGGGGACTTACACAGGTCTGCGCACACTCACCTCAGCCCCAGGGCAGCGGGGCCTGCATCCAGTCTGCTTAGAGACTGGCCCTAAGGGCGAGGCAGAGAGGACCAGAGAAGGACCCTGACATCCTGCTCCTGGCTCTCACACCTGCACGCTGGGCTGTGCACTGCACGCGTACTTACCATGCACACTCATAAACGCCCTAGAAAAGGAAAACCATTACCCATGCGTCTTACTCGCTGTTTCACTGCTCTGAAGAGACACTGTGACATGACCAAGGAAACTCTGACACATTACTTTAATGGGCTTGATGGAGAGCGTGGCAGACAGGCAGGCATGGTGCCTGCCAATCTGTGGGCAGAGAGAGGTCTCGGGTAGGCTTTTGAAAGTTCCAGGCCCACCTGGAGTGACACCTCCTCCAGCAAGGTCACACCTAGTCCTAAACAGTCCTTGACAGGGGGCTAGGCGTTCAAAAAGGCCCCTGTGGAGGCCATTCTTATTCAGACCACCGCCCCATATATCACTGTGCAAAGCAACGTGGCTATGGCTGTATTAGTATCAACAGAGAAAAGAAGGTAAAGGTCCTGTAGTCCCAGCATTTGTGAGGTAGAGACAGGAGCATTGCTGTAAATTAGAGACCAGCTAGCATACAAATTAAGCACCAGGCCAGCTTGAAGAGTAAGACCCTGTCTCAAAACAAACAAATGGGTCAGAAAAATAACCAGAGACAAATAGATTGTAATGAAGAAAGAATGAATTTATCAAGAAAACACACACACACACACACACACACACACACACACACACACACAGCTTCAGGAGACATGCAGCAGGCCTGAAGTGTAGCCCAGTGGTAGGGTCACCCCACCCCCCAATACCAGACTAAACACAGGGAGATGGAAGTCAGCCGGCCCCTCCAGAGCTAACTGGAGAGTCGTCCCAGGAACTCGGCAGGGGCTAGAGAGATGCCGTGTGGTTGAGTCCTGGCCGCTTCAAGAGGACCCAGACATCTAGCTTCAGTGCCAGGGTATCCATGCCCTCCACAGGCACCGGGCATGCATGTGGTACATGTACAGACATGCAAGCAAAACACCAGGACACATAAAATATAAAATAATACATTTTTAAAAAGAAAGTCACACGTTGTTGTTTTTTTTACCATAGTAGAATTAAACCAGCTTGGTGTGAAGGCACAAGCCACGGCAATACCACCACTCAGAGCTAGACAGGAGAATCAACTCAAATTCAAAGCCCAGGGACTTAACACCCTGTCTCAGAAACCAAGCCATGATTAAATTGGTGACCGGTAATTGGGAATATAGGCGTCCCTGGCAGGGAAGCAGCACACCTGCCCGAAGTTCCGGAACAAGCAGGATGAAGATGTAGCCCGGAAGCCAGCAAGAGTATTTGCCTCGGGGCCATGGAGTGTGCAGAGGGAAGTGGCTTGAGGGAAACGTATGCTCTCTGCTCTGACTGGGTGGTGATTAACCAAGTGGGTATAAACATCTGCTGGAGTCTTATAAACCCTAGAGTGTCACACTGGCATTGGCATCCACAGTGTGGTCCAGCGTGCACCCTGCTGAGAGGGAGCGTCATCTTTGTCCTGTCTTCCAGCATCAGCGATCAGAAGGACCCCAGGGATCGCATGGTCCAGGTTGTGAAATGGTACCTGTCGGCCTTCCATGCAGGAAGGAGAGGGTCAGTGGCCAAGAAGCCGTACAATCCTATTCTGGGCGAGATCTTTCAGTGCCACTGGACATTGCCAAACGACTCAGAAGAGAACGCAGTGAGTTTCTGTGGGCCGGGGTCTATGAGCCGCAGGCACAGCTTTTGGGAAGCAGTTTTCTCTGTGGGTCGTGGGAGTAAACTCAGACTTGGCCGCAGACTGTTTTACCAGCTGAACCTTCTGGGGGGCCTGGGGTTAGGGTTTTCAGTTATTTCACACTGTGTGAAGTAATTTAAAGATTCAGTGATCTCAGATGCTCACTGTGGAAAGACTATTGTTGGTGAGCATTTTCTGTTAGCACGGGGACGGTGAGAGAGGAATAGCATGACTTGAGGATGGACATTAAGTCCGATCACAAGGGCCTTGTACACCGTAATGGTTAAGTTTCTGCTTATTGGAGTCTGTTATGCTTTGAGAATGATCATTGTAATGATTTTATGTAAACTAAATTTGGAACCAGCATGCTCTAGAAAAAACAGCTGCATTTGTGAGGTGGAATTGTGAGCAGCTCACAGAGGGGAGTCAGTCGGAGAGATGTGTCCTTGTTCGTGGGCACCAGCAGCTCTTTAACTGGCAAAAGCAGAAACTGTTGGACGTGTGAATGGAGCCTTCAGAGTGGAAGCTGCACTTGTAGGAAAGTCTGGTGGAGAGACATTTGAGTCTGCTGGGGTGGTTTGGATGCCGCTGTGTGAGAACCAGCCCAGGGCGCTGCTATGTGCGTGTTGTTTAGTTCTTGGTGGTAGGGCATGGCGGATGGAGTGAGAGCCCCTGGTGGAATCTGTTTCTACGTTTTAGAGACTGAACTCAGCCTCCGTGTCCTTACCTGCTAAGTCGCCTCCCTGGCCTGGGGCTCCGTGTAGAGTTGTTTGCAAGCACAGACCACAGCAGGGAATGCAGTCTACGTAGCTTCTAGGCATGAGAAAGAAGCAGCCCCGGCCCAGAGCGCCCTGCTCAGGGTCATCTTGTGGAAAATAGGCCCCTGTGTCTGTTTCCAAGGACACATTAATGTGTAGGCCTCACTGAAGACAGAGGCAACGGTCAGCGCACACAAGGGTGGCTGTGCCAGGCCTGGCTTTAGAGCCTGCTCACAGGTGAAGCCTTCAGGAATCTTAGTGTAGGCAGGGAAACTACCATCCCTAAGGGGCAGTGGTCAAGTGCTACAGTGAGAGAGAGAGAGAGAGAGAGAGAGAGAGTCTGTCTGTCTGTGTCTGTCTGTCTAGGAGAGAGCAGAGATGCTGCTTGTTAGATTCTGCATTGTCCTGCTTTACCTAAGAAGTTTTTTAACTGACGTTAAAATTGCTTCCAGGAGCTCGTTTCAGAAGGGCCAGTTCCCTGGGTCTCTAAGAACAGTGTGACATTTGTGGCTGAGCAAGTGTCCCATCATCCACCCAGTAAGTAACACGTGTTTCCTGCAGTCTTAAACTGTTCTAAAGCCTGCCGCCCACAGCCAGGGCCAAGGATTTGTCACTTGAGTGCTGTGCATCCTCTGTTCCCTGAACTGGACGCTCTGTTGGCAGTTGCACAGCCTCGGCATCACTGAGTGAGGGGTACAGAGTGAAGGTTTGGGAACTAAAGGTTAGAGCTTCCGAAGTCACCTCACCCACAGCAACCTGGAGACCAAAGAGAGAAAGACACAACAGAAGAGTGGATTGTGGGGACCCAGATTGTGGGGAGGGAGCATGAGCTTCCCTGCCGAGCAGGACGGGCAGCTCTCCTGCTTGGTGGCCACTAGGGTGGCCATGGCCTCCTGCCTGCCGGCTCTTCGTGTACTTGCTCTGGGCAAAGGGGGCATGCACTCTTAGCATGACCTTGGCTCTTCCCTGGGAGGAGGATCAACTGTAGAGCCAGTCAGTTTGGAGCAGTGACTATACACTCACGAAAAACACTCTCTTTCAGTTTCAGCCTTTTATGCTGAGTGTTTTAACAAGAAGATACAATTCAATGCTCATATCTGGACTAAATCAAAATTCCTTGGGATGTCAATTGGGGTACACAACATAGGCCAGGGTAAGTGTGTGACAATGTGGATTCCAGCTTGTACTAGAATTAGACACTAAAGGAAAAACGTCCCTTGAAAGTCAGGCTGGGTGTCATAATTTACATGAAAATGTGAATGTAGAGGAGGGAACTCGGGGGTGGGGTGGGGATAATGTACTATCCTTAAAGTAGATGGCGCGCAGTGCCCCCGGGCAGACGTCAGGCCGGGGCTGCTGCCCTAGCAGAGGCTGCTCTTCTCTCCACAGGCTGCGTTTCCTGTCTGGAGTACGACGAACACTACATTCTCACCTTCCCCAACGGCTATGGGAGGCAAGTAGATCGTTTTCCATCAGCTGCACCCCGTTCTCGCCTCAGCGCACTCTCACCGAGAACCTTTGATTTTGCAGGTCCATCCTGACAGTGCCCTGGGTGGAGTTAGGAGGAGAGTGCAGCATTAACTGCTCCAAAACAGGCTACAGTGCAAACATCGTCTTCCACACCAAGCCTTTCTACGGGGGCAAGAAGCACAGAATCACTGCAGACATTTTGTAGGTATTTTGTCTTTCTGCCTCGGTGTCCGTTCTCTCAAGTACTGTTCTCTTGACCGTCTGTTGGGAACTAACCATCAGCTGACCTTGTAAGCAGGTCTCTACTGTAGGCGTCAGTCTCCTCCTAAAATCTCACATCAAAAGGAGACCTTCACCCTGGACCCACAGCAGTGGGGTGGAGGGTGGGCCCCTGCTGAGCACGACCCTCCTAAGTGCTGAGCTCCTGCACCCTCGGACTCCATCCTTGTCGGGGCGGACCGTGAGCTCGTCCTGAAAACAGGCTTTGGGACCTGCAGTGTGGCGTCTGCGTGCCTCCACAAAGGCCTTCATTTCTCTAGGGAAAAACAGTAAACAGCACAGGTAGGTTCGAGGCAAGACTTCCTTCAGCAGGACTTGGGAGGCAGCTGTGTGTCTGAGTAACAGGAGCTTGTGGCTTCAGAAACTGCCTCCAAAGGAGTCTGTCCAGTGTGCCTCAGGGCCTTTTCTCCACCGTGAAACAGTGTCCCAGTGGAGTAATGCTTGAGAACAGTTTGCAACTTGAGACTGATAGAAATTGTTTCTTTTCTGTTTAGTTCTCCAAACGACAAGAAGTCTTTCTGCTCAATTGAAGGGGAGTGGAATGGTATCATGTACGCGAAATACGCAACCGGGGTGAGGACTGCATTTCGCCACTTGTCTCAGCTGCGGTGTGCGCAGCCCGCCCTTGGCCTTGTTTCCTTCTTCTGGAACTTCAACCAAGAGCAGCTGGCATGGCTTTAGGGAGAACCCTCCCGCCCTCCACCCACTTTCCTACACTATACCTAACAGAATGGCCTCAAAACCCTGGAGAATAATGTGTTTGAAGCAGTGCTTAGCAGTCACCCAGTAAATGTCTCGTCTGTTGTCAGAAGGGTGTAAGATGAAAGTCTGTTAGGGTTACTAGTGCTGTCGTGAAATGCCATGACCGGGAGCAGCTCAGGGAGAGAAAAGGGTTCATTGCACTCACACTTCCATCGAAAAGGTTCCTCAGAGAAAGCAGTGAAAGCAGGAAGTCAATCAGGGCAGGAACCTGGAGGCAGGGGCTAGTGCCGAGGACATGGAGGGCGCTGCTCATGGGCTTGTCCCCATGGCGTGCTCAGCTTGCCGCCTTTTTTTTTTTTAATTAAATTTTATTTTTTTTATTATTAGTTACATTTTATTAACTCTATACAGCTATCCCAGCTGTATCCCGCTCCCTTATTCCCTTCCAATCCCATCCTGACGGGGGACCTCCTCCCCTTTCATCTGACCCTGTTTTATCAGGTATCTTGAGAACTGGCTGCAAAGTCCTCCTCTGTGGCCTAGCAGGACTGCTCCTCCCTTGGGGGGTGGGGGTGTCAAAAAGCCAGCCATTGAGTTCCTGTCAGAAATAGTCCTTGTTCCCCTTACTATGGGAAACCAATTGGTTACTGAGCTACCACGGGCTACATCCGAGCAGAGGTTCTAGGTTATATCCATACATGGTCCTTGGTGGAGTGTCAGTCTCAGAAAAGACTCAGCCTGCCTTCTTATAGAACCCAGGACCACCAGCCCAGGGATGGCCCCACCCACAATGGGCTGGGCCTCCCACTACTCCGTTAATCACTAATTAAGAAAATGTCCTACAGATAGATCTTACAGAGGCATTTTCTCAACTGTGGCTCCTTCTTCTCAAGATGGCTCTAGCCTGTGTCAAGTAGACATAAAACTAACAGCAGAGAGGCTGGAGAGATGGCTCAGTGCTTAAGAGCACTGGCTGTTCTTCCAGAGGACCCGGGTTCAAGCCTCAGCACTCACATGGCAGCTCACAACTCTGTAACTCGAGTTCCAGGGGATCTGACCCGATCACAGACATACATGTAGGCATAACACCCACCCACATAAAATAATTATAAGATTAACCAGCACAAAATGCTAATTTGTGTTTTATACACTCCGGTTTAAGATTCATAAAATTTGTTGACTGGCTTTGCCTCAGGCATAGAGGAATGGGGCTGTCCTGCCATGAAGGAACTGTTTTTACACACACTCAGTGTGTACTCAGCCAGGTATCTCCGTGGATTAGCGGGAGCTGGTGACATGGAGCTGAGGGGGTTGCAGCCCACCTTCAGGGGCTGCTTACCTTGGCGACTGGTCCTCGAGCGTGTATCTAATGGAGTGCACGCACAGCCATGCTGAAGCTGGCTGTTGAATGGCCTCTGAGTGCAAAACAAGAATTACTCTAGACGTGGGTTGCATAGGAAACTCACTGTGCTAAGATGGAGGGGCCTTAGGCCTCAGAGGGCCCTGAGAAGGACCTCCGAGTAACACTAACGCAGCTTCACTCTTGCTGTCTAGGAAAATACTGTCTTTGTCGACACCAAGAAGTTGCCTATCATCAAGAAAAAAGTGAGGAAGTTGGAAGATCAGAACGAGTATGAGTCCCGCTGGTAAGGAACCAGAGCAGCTGCCATGGTGCTTCTGGCTTGCCTAGGCCCGGGTCCACGTGGGTCAGAGACAGAGCATGGAAAAGCAGTGCCAGCTGAGCTCCAGTGCCCGGGTCCTCTGGCAGGACCTGCACTAAAAGCTTTGTAACCACAGCTAAGTTCTGTGCCATCTCTGCCGCGTTCCCGACAGCTGAGATGGCTCCTGGAGAAGGAGCTGTTTCTCATGCCCTTAAGTCCCTGCTGCTGGCCTCTTGACCCTTTGAGACCACAAGTGGTTTCCTGGAATGGAAATTATCAGATCCCCTCCTCTAATGCTTTCTGTTTATACTTAAAGACGCTCAAGCCCAAGAAAGGAATTGATTCCCTGAAGTTGTGTGAGAACCAGAGCGGGGGGCAGAGGCAGTCGTTGCTCATCTGCTGCTCTCTCGGGTGCCACTGCCTAGCCCTGCTTCCCTTGTTGACAGTTAGCACCTTGAGGTCCAGTCTACACTGCGGCCCTCGGGAGCCGCCAGGCGGTGTGGGTGTGTGTCCTCACAGCGCCTTCCATCTCTTTAGCCTTTGGAAGGACGTCACTTTCAACTTAAAAATCAGAGACATTGACGCAGCAACCGAAGCAAAGCACAGACTTGAAGAAAGACAGAGAGCAGAAGCCAGAGAAAGGAAGGAGAAAGAAATTCAGTGGGAGACAAGGGTAAGTCGTTTCCTCTGTAGCTTGAGCACTAACTGGTTTGTGTCAGTGAACACTGCGGATCCTGGACCCTACCTGACACTCACTTTAGCAGCGGGAGAGGACGGGGTGAAGATGTGCACTGCCTAACCGAGTCCTCTTCCTTCTGCAGCTCTTCCACGAAGATGGGGAATGCTGGGTTTATGACGAGCCGCTACTGAAGCGCCTCGGTGCTGTGAAGCACTAGGCTGGCACCTCAGCCCCTACTGGGGACCAGGGCAGCAGGCATCACTGAGCAACAATCGATCTTCCTTCAGGAGAACCTGGCACTCCCTTTTTATTGCAGTGGTTCCTATCTCAGGGATACTGGACTTGACGACACAGATGAACAATTAAAGTGGAAAACGCTTCCCTTTTCTCCTCTGTGGCAGTTACAATTTTGACTTCAGTCCTGAGAAAAACTTCAGGTTTTGAAACAAGATGTCTCTTCCTTTTCCAGATCCCACGCTTTGAAAAGCATTTATAGACGGACCCGGGTCTCAGCTTCCTGTCCTTCAATTCTGTTGAGGCATAAAATCCTTGTCTCCTAGTTCATATACTCTCTGGTTCTAGATACACACACACACACGATATACCTGGCAGTTTTTCACAAGTACACAAACCTGTAAATACTGTATCCTCAGAGTTGTTTTAGAAAATTAGCGCAGTGTATGAAAATCAAGTGTTAAGGAAATTTCATGGTTTCACCTATAACCTTTATTTTAGAACTGAACTATTAGATTGTATCTAAACCTGGATTAGTATGCAGTGCTTCTTAAGGCTTCATAAAATAATTTTCCAACCTTTTTAAAAATATGTTTCCTTGTTTTGTGAGCTCGAACGCCAATCTTGGCAACCTGGCTGAAGCACCGTTCCCAGCCCTCCACCACACACCATCATCAATAGCGCGTGCTGCCCATCCTGGAACCTCACTGGATTACAGAGCTGGGGACTTCACTTTCCCACCCCCAGCCCCCAAAAAGGCCACAGCAGATGGCTTGATCTGAAGGGAAATACAGAACTATGTTTATTTAAAAATACATTAAACAAAAACAGGGCAGTTTGGTGCTATTATAACAAATTAGTTGCATGTAGGCACACAAGAACTGAGTTCTCAGAGGACACAGGCCAGGGCCCCCACACTGCTGACCGAAGTGTCTGGATCACACTTGGCTACTGTCTATCTCATTGCCACCCAGTACAGTAGCCCTGCGTCAGTCTTCTTGTAAGTCACATCTAGGTTGCCAGCGCGAAAATCCAACCGAAGCCCTAAGGCAAAAGTGTAATTCCAGAAAATGCACACACGTCTTTAAATACACACTGCTTCAGGCCAATGAGACTGCAGTTTATTTGACTATTTTATGGTAGGGGAAGAGGCTGAGTGTTGATGTGAAGGCCCTGATGTCCGTGATGGGGATAGTGGAGTCTGCCAGGAGAGGAGAGGGCGGCAGGTAGAGGAGCCGCATCCCTTCACGAGAACTGGGATCCTCGCTGGAACGGGTGCCATCCTCTTCCAGTTCATACTTCCCATATCCAACAACCTGAAAGGCCAAAGAGGGGGTTTAGAAACATGCCAGCTAGATGTGAGCAAGACTTCAGATGGTTGGCTGCACTCACATGAACGCTGAGCATTTTACTTCCAGGTCCTCTGTGAGCCTTGAACCAGCTGACCAGGTCTGACTTTGAGAAAGACTTCAGTGCTTCAATCTTGCAGAAAGAGAGGACGGGAAAAGAGCATGAGTAAGGGCATCGTCTTAGGCAGAAGTCTGTCCCCCACCCCCTAAGAATCTGAGTTTATCTTACTTGGCTTGTGTCAGCCTGCCCTGCCCTTCCACAAAAGGACAAAGATTGTCAGGGACTGGCCTTCCTAGCAACTGTGTGTGCATTAGCAGCACAGCGGGCACCAGCAGGCCAGCTAGAGCCAGCGCGCGGGCACTGCACACTCCCGCAATGGCTGAGCTGGGCTGACGCCACTGGTACGTAGTGCACAGCAGTCGCCTGGACAAGAGGACCAAAGCGCTCTTGTGATGGTCTCATTGATTTCAAATGTCAGCTAGAAGTCGCCAAAAGACTGGAGGAACTCCATGAAAACATGATTGCTCTGTTTCTGTAGAACCCCGTTAAGTTACCCCCTTAAAACTTCATAATAACCTCTGGCTGGTCCATGTAGAGGTAAAGGTCAGCATCTTAAAGAGCTGCCAGCCAGGGAGAGACTACAGAGCCTGAAAACCACAGAGGAAAGAAACAGTGAGCCAGGAAACATGGTCGAGGTTTCCCTCCACACAGCACTGTCTGGACCCAGGACAACGCAGCTGAGGGCTTTCCCCAGTTCTTCAGGGCTGTCTTGCTCTGACAGATCATTACCTCGTGGGCAAGGCGGTCAAAGAGGTACTGCTGTGTCACCACTTCATTCCAGTTCCTGTCCACCTCCTCCCCGAGGTGCGTGTCCTCACACTCTTTCAACTTGATCAGAGCTGTGACCTGTCAGAAACATGCTCAGCCATGACCTCACACCCATTCAGAACAAGCGGCTGTGGCGGACATGCCAGTGTGCGTGTGTGCATGTCTCTGCGTGTGTATTGGGGGTTTTAGAGGGACACCCTTGCCATCATGCAAGCATGGCAGTGACCAGCTCTGGTGTCCTGAAGGATTCCCAAGATGGGGCACTAGTCACCTGAGTATTGAATGCATCTTCAGTGAGGTTCTCAATCTTCTCCTCGAAGCTGGAAAGAAATTCTTCTATCTTCTTGTCAACGGTTTCGGAGCTGAAACAATTTGGGTAGAAGCCAAAGGAACTCAGGCTCACTCAGGCGTAAAGCCTGAAGGTTTTCTACCCTAAGCCAGGAAAGCAAAGAAACTGAGGAAGAGCTGCCGCTCCACACTTCGGCCTCCTTTCTTAGTGCCACACAGTGAAGCACTGACATCCACCTGGGCCACGCCACGCCACGCCTCACACTGTCAGGGCCTTACCCTCATGGTCCACGTCTCCTGTGGCTTTGTTTGTTTTTATGTGTATGTGTGTTTTGCTCACACGTGTGCCTGGTGCCCACAGAGATCAGAAGAAAGCACTGGGTTTCTTGGAGTCAGACACAGGATTGAGCCACCACAGAGGTGATGGAAGTGGTCCGCTATGAGGACTGGTAGTCCTAGCCGCTGAGCTATCCAGTGGTTTGGGGGTTAAGACAGTCATGAGGCCTGGGCTGGCCCTGACTTATCCACGTGACTGCCTCCCAAGTGCTAGGATTACAAGAGGATGCGATCACGCCTGCCTCTGTGTGGTACTGGGAATCCAACCCAGGGCTTTGTGCATTCAGAGATACTCTATACCATCAGCCCAACAGCCCTTTTCTCTGCTCTCCCTGAAATCAAACATGTAAGCCCCACAGAGTGAAGTATAAGATTTGAGCGACACCCTAGAGAAGCCGCAAAGCCTCTTGTTGGTCCTAGATGGGTTGGCCATTGTCCGCCCCACCCCTGCCAACTAAGCTAAGCTAAGCAAAGCAAAGCATGCTGGCCTCAGCTGTACAAGCCTCAGGGGCGAGCCTGCAGCTACTCACCACACGACCCCCTAAGAGCAGCGGGGACCCAGTCACTTACTTGTATTTGGTTGCCTGAGTCCCAACGGTCACGGAGAATCCCAGAATCCCAGATGTGTTCCTACAGGTTGGGTAGACATGGTACCTAGAGCCAGACAGAGAAGTTGAGGAGTTCACGAGGTGACCCGGTCGCTGCCCAGAGAGGCGCTGAGCACGGCAGTAATGGGCTCCTGCCCTTTTGGAAGTGTGGGCGCGCAGCTGCTTGTGTGGAAGTGCAGGTCCCCACCGCTGTTCAACTAGGTACAAGCTAACTTTTCCAGCTTGTCCAGCGCCTGAACAAACTGAAGGCGTGATCATCGTCCATCATACAGACTGCCGAAGGGCGGACATGTAGGTACTCCCCTGTAGGGTGGGCAAGGGCCCCGGTGGGCTGGCCAGCTGCCTGCAGGGGAAGCCCGTCCGCAGCGCTCTTGCCCGCACTTACCCCAGGGTCTGCTTGGTTCGAAGGAAGTCAAAGCAGGGCTCCTCCATGTGCATCTGTAACCCAGCACACATCCATCAGCCCAGCTTCCGGGAGAGAAGCCAATTTCCTGCCCCAAAGTTCCATAAATTCCAAAACCCAGCCTCCCATACAAGCTTTTCTCCTACGCGGTCCAGGCCCTTGACTGCACATACGGGCTGCGGATAGACAGCCTGACCCTCCAGTTACAAGTTTCTGACCTGCACAGCTGCACAGCCCTTCGGCATAAATGTTGGCCTCACGGTAGACCAGGAACCCCTGAAGCCCACCCTCCGTGCACTTACCACAAGAAGCTCCATGAGTGTGTATTCTCTTAGACTCCTGGTACCTGACTGAAGGGGAAAGGTGAGCAGATGAGCAATGGCTCACAGGTTTAATGACCTTGGCCACTACTCTCCTAGGGTTCCTGACCTCACAGTCCTGTTTATTAGCTACCTTCCCAGCGGCCTGAGAGCCCGAGGGCAGGAATCCCACTGGAACACCGCTAGTTGTAGACTGGCTGGCACTAGTGTACACTTCCAGGTAGACACGGGTGAGCCAACAGTACCTAGCCTGACAGCTCCTGCCTGCGAGGCCCAGGATACATGGTAAAATCAAGTACCTGTCATTCAAGGACCTAAGGAGGATGGCAGGGTAGTGGCTGTGGAGGAGCTGAATCTGTTTCTCAAACACATAGGCACAAACCAAGTACTACGAAAGTAGCCCAGAAGCCTGGAGAACAGCACACAAACTCAGAATAAAAGTGTAGACGGAGGCCAAACAAGGACGTTGCTAGTGCATGTCAGAGTAGGTCTCTTGCAGGCTTCTAGGACATTCATTCCTTGGCTTTCCTATTTCACCAGAGGAAAAAGACAGTGCCTGCATGTCCTACCAGCTCTGACCAACAAGCAGCAAGACTTCCTGTTTCCCTTTGAGAGGGCTGCAACAAAACCAGTCAAGTCTGTTCTGTGGAGGGAAGAGTTTCCTAAACGAAGCAGTTTGTATGAGATGAGCATGGCATCATTTCATGATGCATTTACTTCTGAAAACCAGGACAATGTCAAATAAGACAGGACGGGAGAGGAGGAATGACTGGGGAGATGGTTCAGGCGGCCAGTGCTTGCCTACATGCACAAGGACATGAGTTCAATCCCCAGAACCCACACTTAAGAAATACAGGGTGGGAGCTGGAACTAGCTCCTAGCACCCGAACAGTGGCTCACAACCGTCTGGACTCCAGTTCCAACGCTCCAACACCCCTTTCTAGGCTTTGCAGGTACCAGGCATACACGTGGTACACTGATATACATGCAGGCAAAACACTCCAATAAAAATACTTTTATTGGAAAAGAAAATTCTTGGTATGATGGCATATACTTGCAATCACAGGGCTCAGTGACCACCAGCCTTTCCTACATGGTACACTCCAAGCCAGCGAGGGACTTGACTCAATTTTTTAAAAAGAGAGGGGGCAGGGGAACAGATGGCACCTGAGGAATGATATCCAAGGTTGACCTCTGACTTCTACATACACCTGTATGCACACACAGACACACAGACAATGGGGAGACGGGGGTCAGGCCCAGGATCAGCAACAATAAAAAGTCAAAAAGAAAGTAAGCAAGGCCATGTTACCCAAAGGCTAGACCACAGACTGGACAGGACAGGTTCAGAGAGGATATTCACAAATTAGTAGTGGGATCAACCAAAGGCTAAAGCAGGCTCTGAGCCGACTGAGGGGTGCTGAAAGGCACTTTTTTACAGACCGCCGCCTCCTCC